AGGCTGTTGTATCCTGGAGGGGACAAGTCAAGAAGAACTACTGCTGGACCGGTGAAAACATTTGCTGCAGTGGGCTTGAATCTCCTTAAAGAGAGCGAAATATCCGCGCCTCAGCCTGAAGAGATTTATTTTCTTCATTTTATTTTCAATTGTAATCTTGTATTTTTGTTATCTTGTAAGTTTTCACTAACATACACAAACTAGCCGAAGAAACTCACCAGAGCATGACAGCAGATGCAAAAGATAGTTTAACAAATTCCCAAAGATTTTGAAAAGCCTTCATAGAAAATCCAGACCAAGCTTCTCCACAAGCCCCACTGAATATGTACACCAACTTAGCCACCACTAAGAACCACCATGAACTGTTCAGCACCACCGCCGCACCCACAAGTCCCCACCTTAACTTGAGCATCAACAGCCAACTAAACAAAGTGTGTCCAACAAGAGCAAACCCCGCTATAACGGCTGTCACCATGATCTTGCTCTGAGCTTGCAAGAATTTTTGGATGGGAAAGTTTAGTGCATACGCGAATAGTTGTGGAATCATCCATACAGCAAATGTACCTGTAGAGGCGAATTCAGAATATAGAGTTTATACAATTAAATGTTTTAAAGTCAATGAGTTAAGTTGAATAGATAAAATCCATCTTAGATTCGCCTCTGTTAATACCTGCCCACTTCGATATATTGGAAGTCTGACCGATGAATCTGAGAAGTGGCGTGGCAAAAATATAAGGGAACAGTAGAATTAAAGCTGTAGAGGTGAGGATTATCCAAGACCGTTGCATATAAGTTCCGAGCATTTCTAGTTGTTTTGCTCCAAAGGCTTGTCCACATAGCGTCTCCAATGCACTTCCCATTCCCAACTGTAATCACAATAAGAAAATCCCTAAATTGGTCGAGTTCAGGTAAATTTAGAACTAATAGTTATTATATCAGAAAGTATATACGTACCATGATGCCAAAAGAAAAACCAGCGATGACAGAGTTTTCAATGGAGACAGCAGCAAGTTGAATGGTACCAACATGACCAGCAAATACTTGAGTTATGGCACCAATTGAGTATTGGCAAAGGGAAGTGAAAATGGCTGGAGCAGCAAGGTACCATAGTTTTTTCGACTCTGCTGAAAACTCTCGAACGAAATCTTTAACTCCATTAATTTCGTTGATGTCATCTGAACCATGTGAAACTGGTCTCAATATTGGGCTATGAAGCTCATCATCTTCGTGATTGTTCACTCTTGATGTTAGAAGTGGCACCACAGTACTATCACTGGCCATAATTGGGAGAAAAAGGCGGCTATAATTTGACTTATATTTTCACTATTGATGTTAGAGGGTTTAAATGGAATGAGATACCTTATAAAAAATTAATTATTACTAGTGTAGCTAAAATATTTGATCCTCTGCATCTTTTTGGTTAGGAGATAATAGAAAAATAGTCCACCATTAAACATCAACATCTGCTAATTAATTAAGATCTCTATCAGACACATAAAAAACAATAAATGCTAACGTCGTTAATTTCAATTCTCTATCATAATTTCTCTATTAAATTAGGTTGCAATAGGTAGTAGGTACATTCTTTCTTTAGTATCAGTAAAAAAAATAAAAATGGATCAGGCATAACTCAACCACCGATATTGTGTGACTCTTCACATCTCCTACCCTCATAACTGAATATACGATGCGTGGATAATTAAAGGAGAAATTATTTAATTAGACATACTTCAATACTATATATACTATCATTGTTTATATTTTTAAAATATTACATATTTAATTACTAATTAAAAGTTTCTTATCATATATTGAGGAAGATACACTTAGAAATATGTATTTTGCTACTAGATACACTAAAATAAAGAGAGAGGCGAGCGAGATTTATTATGTATTTCAAATATATGCAAACAACACTAGACACAATATACTAGATCCATGTATTTAATTTATATATATCTAGTGCGATTCACATGTATCAGGGATATCAGATACATATGAGAGTAGCGAGTGAGATGAGAGGGAAGCGAACGAGATTTGTTATGTATCCTAAATATATGTGAATCTACCTGGATGTTGTGTATCTAAAATAAATTACACCTAATTTATACCCATGTATCTGAACGTATTTGGACGCACCAATATTTGATAAGATACGTAATATTACAAATTAGAGTGTTTCTAAGTAATTAGTTCTTAAATTAATGAATTTATATAACTTTCCCATGATTAAATAAGGGGGGCCATTATTAAAATGAGTCTTGCTCCGTAAAATATTATTAATTTAATTGTCTTCAAATCATTCTCATAACAGAATGAAAGCAAGAAAGAACGAAATGAGCGTTTACCCTATCGACCGAAGCTACAATCCTAAAATCAGAAACAATAGAGTGGTTCTACCAATAAAGAGCCATATACATTTTATTGTAACATCTGCTGATGTACCTCATAGTTGGGCTGAACCTTCCTTAGGGTCAAATGTGATGCTGTATCGGGTTGTTGATTCTCTATTTATACTGTGGATAATCTATTTTTTAGAGCGAGTGCGAATTGGATGATTCAACAAACAATTCATCCGTTGTTGGATACCTTTACCTCTTAACGTGGTGATTGTTGACAATTGAGCTAACACTACTAATACTATTTCAGTATTGGTACATTTTTTTTTACCTTGAAGGAGTTTTAAAATAGGATTATAGAATCTCAACAACAAAAACAAATAGTTCCAAAAATCATGACCTGGTTCATACCTGACTGAAATAAATCAATCTTAAGTCCCATTTCATACTTGTTTATTTAGTTATTTAACAAAGGTATATAAATATAATTACCATAAAGCTACATGCATAAAAATTATTATAATGCAGAAAAATGACGATCTTAATTTACTTAAAATTCATGGGGGGGGGAGAAAATCAGTAGAGACTAGAGACTACGATTCTTTGTCAAGTTGATTTTTATTCCTGTAAAAACATAATCATTGGTGATTCTTAACCAGCCACGTGAAGGAGAAATTGTGTGCAACGACAACATTTATAGCCGAAAGCTCTGATTTTGTAAAGATGTGTACGGGACAATACTTTAGCTGTTTATGTCACTATTATAGTTAAGAGGTTTAATTTGTACTCAATATTTTATAAGAGTTTTTAGTTTTAAGCATAAATAAAATAAGAGGTTTGAAAATTTCACATCTATTACTCTTTTTATTTCTTTTTATTATAGTACATTAGAATATATTATTTTCTTTTTTAGTAGATTTTTAATTTTAATTTTTCAAATGACATGTTTGGTAGAAAGGAAAATATTTTTCATGGAAAACTGATTTTCTAAAAAGAGTTTTCTTGAAAAATAAGTGGATTTTTTTTACTTATTTTGTATTGTTTGATATGTAAGCAAGAAAATATTATCTCAAGCGCATTTATATGTTATTTAGCAAACCACTCTGGAGATCGTGGGATGGGATGGGAGTGAGGGTTCGGGAATGGAAGGGGTGGGATGGTCAAAGAGTAGGGATTGGGGCCTATGGGATTCGATGGGTGGGAGTCCATTGTTTTAAAAGGCGAGGGCCTGAGGCGGGGCATTTTACTTCGTATAGGACGAGGCGTAAGCCTCGAGACGTGGGGCGTGTTAAAGAATGACAAAAATCTCACATCGGTGGTTAATGAGATGGGTGGACTCCTTATAAGGCTTGGGTAATCCTCCTCCCTTTGAGCTAGCTTTTGGGGTGTGAGTTAGGCCCAAGACCTAATTTAACAGGGCGTAAGCACTATGGATCTTTAAATTTTTAATTTATAATAAAGTATAATAATATAATAACACAAAATTATAAAAATACATCAATAGTTTGAAATAATTACAAACATAATTAAGGAAACTCATAGAAAATAAAACTTCTAACATGATTATACAAGTATAAATAATTTAGGGAAAATGCATAAGT